AGGGAGGGAGAAAATACCTCTGTAGGGAGTTTCCTTAATTAGTGATTGATGGGGGAGACAGGGAGTCAAGACCATGGTGGGTGGTACCATCCCTGGGTTGGTGGTCCTGGGTTCTATAAGAAAGCAGGCTGAGCAAGCGGTGAGGAGCAAGCGGCTCCATGGCCTCTGCATCAGTCCCTGTCTCCAGGTTCCTGCCTCAAGGTTCCTGCCCTGTTTGATTTCCTGTTCTGGCTTCCTTCAATGGTGGACTATGATGTGGAAGTGTAAGCCCAAGAAACCCTTTCCTCCTCAACTTGCTTTTGGTTATGGTGTTTCATTACAGCAATAGAAACCCTGACTAAGACAAGGTCCAACCTGTTCCTGAATTTATTTCATCTTTTTATTTCATTCTTAATAATGACAAGTATAAATAATAACTCCCCCTCACACTGTTCCCCCAGATGGTTTACAGCAAGCATTATTTCATGTAACTTTGCAAAAATCCCAGTGTGCTGATGTTATTGTCAAGCTAAGGAAACGAATGGACAGCGAGCTGAAATATCACGATCATCACAACTGCAGGTTCTCACAGTCCCCTGACATCAGCTCTCGATTTTCACCACACCTTCCCAATACCGAGTCAACTAGCATCGAACTGACGGCATCTATGATGTGGGGGTGTTTTCTCGTGTTTATTATCTCATCCTCACCATTCTCAGCCATCCACTCTAACCCCCGGCCTTTGACACTGTTGTGCCTGTTGCTAAGTTAAAGTGGAACACAGTGGAGTCCAGAGAAAGGTTCTCATCAACTGAAAGCCACCAAAACCAGCCACCAAAGAGATGACTTGCCTTGGAGATTCCATTTTCGGTCACCTATTTCTAAGAACTGTTTTTCCTCCCTCTCCCTTCCCTTTCTTCTTCCTTCTTTCCTCCCTCCCTTCTTCCCTTTTTCTGTCCCTCCCTCTTTCCCTCCTTCCTTCCTTCTCTCCTTCCTTCCCTCCTTCCCGTCTGAGTTTTTTTTTTTTGAGACAAGGTCTCACATAACCTGGCTTAGCCTCACACTCACTATGAAGCTAAGGATGGCCTTGAACATCTGATTTTCCAGCCTCCACCTCCTGATTTCCTAACCTATCCTTCTCTTCTTGCTGAAACCTAATCATGTTGCTTTGGAACAGATTCCACAGAAGACTAAGAGGAGTGAAGTTATTTGGAAAAAGTTGCTAGATGCGTATGGATTTGTGAAAATAAACACTATGAACATTTTGGGACTAAGTCACAAACTGTCACTGCATGAATACCTCGCTGCTTCATCCACTTAACTGAACGAATACAATACAGCAGCTAAAAGGAGTTTTGCTCTGGTTCTTTCGGGGGAGGGAGAAAGAGATTTTGACAGCTATGCTCCTACCTGGGTAATTTCTCTTCTCTTGTGGCTGACTCCCATAATGGGTCCTCTGGGAACGATGTCCTCTGGTGTCCATGTGGAGACTCAGAATGAAAACACTGAGAAAGCTCCTCATGGTGTCTTACTGTTCTATTGCTGTGAAGAGACAACCATGACCAAGGCAACGCTTGGAAAGGAAAGCATTTGACTGGGCCTGGCTTACAATTTCAGAGGATTAGTCCATTAGCATCATGGGAAGGGAGCATGGTGGCACACAGGCAGGATGATGAGGCTGGAAAAGTAAGAAAAGTAGTTGAGAGCTTTGCATCCTTATCCTCAGATAGAAGGCAGATGTGGGGGTAGGATAGAGGTAGAAGGAGGGGATTGGAAGCTGTGGGCTTTAGAAGCCTCAAGTCCCACTGCCAGTGACACACCCACTCCAACAAGACCACGCCTCCTAATCCTTCCCTGACAGATCATCATCTGGGGACTAAACATGCACATAGATGAGCCTATGGGGGCCAATCTTATTCAAACCACCATACATGGGTCGCTGGTCTCAAGGGCATCTCTCTGTGGCTGATTAAAAACAAACAACAATAACAACCACCACCAATGTCTCCAGCTAGCTGGCAGAGACAGCTCCCTCCTCTTTGGGAGAGGATCATACGGTACCATGGCAGGGGACTCTGCAGTGACACATCTCTGAGCATTTGAATGGATGAAGAGAAGGGGAGATGAGGGAGGAGAGACCTCATCTTGTTCAATGGATCCGAAGAAGTATTACAAAGACATGGATCTGGGAGAGCCAACAGACAGAAAGTGAGCCACAGAAGATCTCAGTGGCTCATGACCCCGCTGTGAGGGACAGTGGAGTAAGAGAAGGCTAGAGAGGTCACAGAAGCTGGACCACAGGCAATTCCATGCCAACCTGGTGACTTCCGTCTTGATCTTCTGGGTGACAGCAGTCAGTAATTCAGTGCTTTCAAGAAGGAGAGGAATAAACTGAAGTTGAGTTTTTCCACTGGAGACAGAGGCAGAGTCTGGGTTCGGGAGGGTTAAAGACAGAAAGGGTTCCCCAGTTTTCAGGGGGTTGTGAACCAACTCATGAGGAGCCACCAGGCTGTACCGCAGAAAGACGTGAGGTCTGCTTAGCTGGAAGGAGAAGAACAGGGAGCCAGGGCTCACTCACAAACTTCTCTCTCAGAGCCACCAGAGAAGAAGCAGGTTTCCTCATGCGGTTGCGAACGGGCCAGATCTCCATCCTGTTGCTATTCCACTTCCCTTTCATTTAGTTTGCACAAGAGAGGCCACACTCCTTCAATAAGGCCTTTCTTTCCCCTAGCCGAGTGGGTTATTCACTGAAGTTGGTGGCAGGGGAGCCGACGGGAGGGCTGAGGGCCAGGAATATTAGTAAACAGAGAGCAAAGACTTAGATGGTTGTTAAACAGAGAGCTCGGCTGAACTGGGAGGTGGCAGCACCTGCCCTGTGCCCCATGTTTCAGATGCCCAGAACCCTGGCAGAAGCCTAGGTCTGGCCACTCATTCTCTCACCCAGCAGGCAGCGAGAAGCAGTCTCCAAACCCAGGGAGACAGAGGCACAAAAATCAAAAGCAGTGTCCCAGGGGTCAGGTTCTGGGCTCCAGGATGCAAGGTGGACTCGGTTCTTCCAGCTCAGGCCTCTGTGGACCTCTTTCATGACAATGGGCTTCCATTTGTTTTTCTGTTTTTAAAATGTCTACGCGTTTCAGACTCTGGAAGGCCCTCAGTCCAGTGACCAGGAGGCCAAAGCACCACACAGTTCAGGTTGCATCCCAGAATAGCAGTGCTCAGCCCCTAACTTCCAGCGACTGGCTCAGAGACTGGACCCTGGATCCCTTCCAAACACATCCTAGCCTCAAAACGGGAAGAGCGGGGAAACCCTCTTCTCCTTTTTTCTTTACTTCCTTTCAAACTTTTTTTTTTAATTTTTATTTTATCCAAGGGTCTCTCCTTTCTCTTTTTCTCCATTTCCCTATCTTATACCAGTACTGGGGGCTCAGTTCTGCGATCACGGTACTTAGGAGGCTGAGGCAAGAAGATTGCTGGATTCTTGGCCAATCTAGGCTATGTAGCAAGTTCCAGGCCAGCCTGGGCTACAGAGTAAGACCCTGATTCAAAACAGCAGCAAATCTCCTTGTCTGTCTGTCTGTCTGTCTGTGCTTATCCCTATCGCTCTGTCTTGCTCTCAAGTGTATGTGTGTGTGTCTTTCTCTTTCTTCAAATTTCAAAGAAACCCCACTGAATAGCTGACTATTCAGGACCTGTGGAATGAGGCCTCTTTGGGCTGGGCTGTAGTCCTTTGACTACAAGTCTCAAAGGGGTTGCAGGCTGATCAACCCAGAGCAAGGCAGAGGCTGTGGCAGCAATGCTCCCTGCACCCGAGACTGGCCATCTGTATGCAAATCTCAGCGTCCCAGCAAACTTGCATCAGCCTAACTGGCCTGGCGGGCTGTGCCTCAGCAATTATCAGTGCACATCGGGCCTTTGTGCCCGCGGCCGGGCTTTGTGGGCGCCGAGGCTGCCCAGCACCTGCATCTCGGAGGTGGCAGATGGCAGGACTTGGCAGCAATATGGAAGTTTGCCTGAATGTGGCTGAGCCACAAATGGACATCTTTTATTTCTTCCTGGGGGTGGGGAGCTCAAGAGAGGATTAGTGTTAGATTACCACCCATTCTTTCACTTGGCAAATATTTATTGAGTGCCTACTATGTGTCCTGCCACCAGTGGCCTAAGAAGAGCCCCTCAAAGGACACAGTATGACTATTAAGAGAAAGAAAAAGACCTGAGAATGGACTATTGACATTCAAAATCACTACATAGGCAGTTGACATTCCTGGGGACTGTGACCAACACAGTATAACACGGGGACTCCTCCCCTCCTGTAGGCCCACAGAGGCCAGTCAGTTCCTGCCTGATTGACTCATGCATTGACCATGGTCAGGCACATGCAAGACCACAGCTCCACAGATGTGGTCTTCCCACCCAGGTGTTGAAGTAGCATGGAACCAGCATGATGATTCAGGCCTTTAATCCCAGCTCTCAGGCAGAGGCAAGTGGATATCTGAGTCTGAGGCCAGATATCTGGTCTACAAAGTGAGTTCCAGGACAGCCAGGGCTACTACTACACAGAAAAACCCTGCCTTGAAAATGGAAACAACAACAACAGCAACAACAAAAAATCCAGCAGCAACATCATTGAAAGTCCAGTAAGTGAAAACTGTTGCCCCCTAGACAAAAGGATGGAAACCATCTCAGGGCAGACACAGGCCATGGTCTGTCCCCTAAAGAGCTGATCCAAAGAGTACCCCTTAGGAAGGGCTACATCGGAAGCCATGCTAAAAAGATGGGAAGAATAGTTAGATCTTTAATGAGATGATGCACCCTTTCTTCCCAGAATTCCCAGCTCAGTCTCAGTCGCCATGGTCTGCCACAAACTTCCACTGGGTCGGCATCATTTTTCTCTTTTTCTTCTGCACTTTTCTTCCGGGTGCTGAGCAGACCGTAAGTACGCTTTCTCTGGTACACTGATGTTTTCTTCAGTCTTTCTCTTCCGCTCCCTTCCCGATACACGGCTGCTTGTCCAGTGTCTAGCTGACCTCCCTGCCAGTGAAAATGGCTTGGCTTTCCTTCTTCTGGCTCCCTCCTGGCAGCTGCTATATTTACAGCTTGCCTCTTTGGGAGTTTCCCTTCTAAAACTGCCTTTAAGCCTCCATTTGAGTCTGTTCTTAAATTCTTCTGTTAATGAGGCTGTGAACCTCAAGAGGGGACCCAAATTTCCCAGTATCCTATAGCTGCATATATTCTTTAAATTACATTATTGTATGGGGGGGATGCACGCGTGCACTCATGCGTGCCAGATGACCTTGTGGAGGTCAAGAGAACAGCTTGTGGGAACTGTTCATCTCCTTACACCACGTGAGTCCCAGGTATTGAACTCAGAACATCAGGCTTGGCTGCAAGTACTCTACCCACAGAGCCATCTCACTAGCCCAGAGGTGCATATTTTCTTGAGCTAGGGCTGGCAGCTAAGATGATTGGCGTCTGCTTTGGAGACAGCTGTAGCTACTCATCTTCTAGAAATGGGCTGACTTTCTCATTCAACCTTTCTGGATAGACTTTTGCAGATTCACACCTAAGTGTGTTTCCACGGCGACCCGTGCAAGAGCATCCTTCTGCAGAGTGTGGCCGGAAGAGTGCGGCCGGCTGAAAAGAGCCCCGTGGAAGGGAGGGTTTATATGGGCTCACAGTTTGAGGGTACCGTCTGTTGTGGCTGGAAAGGCACAGTATGAGGTCATATCACATCTGCTGTCAAAGTACCAGTGGAAGAATGAGGTGCTCGGCTCCCTGCTTGATTCATTCTGGGATCCTTACTCATGGGATGTTTGTTCTTTGTTTATTTGTTGTAGAGGGTACTGGGAACCAAATTCAGAGCTCTGTTTATACTAAGCAAGCACTCTACCACTCTGCCAAGTCTTACTCCATAAATTTGTTCAACATAGCACTTTCTGGATGGACTGAACACATATTCCTTGAAGCACAAGGGATCTCAACTTTATATGGCTATTGTAATGTTAGGATACTTTAAGGAATCACTCTAATAAGGCTTAAAGTTTTTTTTTGTAATTTTTTAGCTCAAAATGAAGAATGTACTTGCTGTCACTCCATACATCTGAGCCTGGGTTTCTGTACAACTGTACTCGCCACCCCATCCCTGGGTCCATGGCTTCGCATCACCTTGCTGTGTCACACCGGCCTCGAAGCCCCTCCTGTAGAAGCCGAGCGTTTTGATGCTGTGTCTGTAAAACTCCTGCTTTATATTATGAAGGTGTGGGAACATGGACGAAAACCCAATCGGGAGGGATGCTGCCAGATCTTACTGTTCCATTTGTCTTAGTCCATTAGGGCTGCTTTGACAGATGACCATAGATGAAGTGATTCCAACCACAAGCATTTACTTCTCCTCGCTGCAGCTGCTGCAGGTCCGAGGTGAGGGGTGAGGAGGTGACATCTGGGAAAGCCCCCATCCCTGGCCTGTAGGAGTTCTTGTTGTGGTCTCTTACACTGGAGAGCTGGGAGGAGGTTCACCACCATGGACAGGAACAGTTCATTCATTCAAGGCGGTTCAACATTGCATTCAGTGTGTGGTACCATGGGGAAGAAAAATGAGGCTGAAGAAAACATACAAGTCAGACGGAAACCTGGCATGGCAGTCAAGACCTGCAGAATGAAGGTAAATCTAACAGTGGGATGAGGTCTGGCAGTTAAAGAAGAAACCACTCCTCACCTTCGCCCCCACCCTCACACTTCCGCACCCCCACAAGGCGCGGTTGCCCATATCTCCTGATAACTACGATTTGGTGCCATTTGGGGAAATGTAGTCAAACCACTTGTTGGTGTGGCCGAGTGTGAGGGCTGTTGCCAACGTGGAGGCACTGAACCTGAGAACTAGGCTCTACCTGATTCTCATGGCCAGTCGGAAGTCGCTCCCTGCTCCCTGTGTCGGGAGCTGGATCACACACAGTCCTACACCCTAGAGGCTCCGGATACCACCTTCTGCGCATTTCCAGAAGGAAGAACAGTGGATCGCCAAGATGGGAGTTCAGCATAACAGTTCACTCTGCACGGGGAGTTGTTTTGTTTGCTTGTCTTGTTTTTGGTTTTGCTGTGTCGTGTTTTGAGACAGGGTTCCACTACATAGCCCAGGCTGGGCTCCACCTCAGTGTACCCCTTTCTCAGGTTCCTGAACTGAAAGGATTACAGGCCTGAGTCATCGCCACATCCTGTTAGAGGCCAGTTTAAGAGAGGCCAGCAATCCTAAAGGAAATATTCATGAAGGGCGAGGGGGTTCCTAACTCAATTGACATCAATGTGAAGGAGAGGAGAGGTGAGAATTTTAAAAATTAAAAAAAAAGGGGGGGGAGGTTAAAATGAGTTGAAGATCAGTCCAGTAGCTCACACAAGATCTTGAATTAAGGATGGGACTTGGATGCTGGTCAGTGAAAAACAGTGTTAGGTCCTGGGCTTCCTCAGGCCCATTTAGACTGGGGAGTAACGGCTTGAAAGGATTGGAAATGGGAAGTGAAGTTGAAGGTAAACCATGGTGCTAAAGTCAGGGGAAGGGGAAGGGGCTCTTAAAGATAAGTAGGTGCTTCTTCCTTGATGGAGGATGAGGTAGACGGAAAGGGGAAGACTTCTGTTTGCCTGGAGTCATCATCCCTATCTCCCAATCTGCTGTGGTAGGACCAGATGGCTAGAACCGCTCTAATTAAACAAGAAGTGTGTGTAAAGGAACCCAGTGCAGTCCCTGGCACATAGCAGGGTCATAATAGCTGTTTGATAAATGACTCACCCTGCAGATGAATGAGAATGTGGAGGAATGGTGGGAGAGATTAATGAGTGACAGGCCGGAGAGGTTCGGGCATGCGTGAAGGGAGGGAAGAAGGGAGGGGGGAGATAATTGCTAAGTGTATTCATTAAGATCCTGCTCAAATGCTGTCTCTTCCAAGAGGAAAAAGCCCCCAAGAACTTCCTCTTACCCATACTCATCTACCCACACCCCAAGGGAACTCTTTGACCATGCCCCTCGCTGAAATAAAGGTTGCTGCTTCCTGAATGACTTGGGAAAGACGTCACCTACATACTGAGTAGCCATGTTGTGAGGCTGTAAGGGAGACAAGGTTTTCCATGGTGAGCATAGCTTCAAGCATTTACCAATACACCCTGCCTCCCACCCCTCATTCTCAACCTCAACATGAAGACTGGGGTGTAACCTGGAAAGCTCCCAAGGGTCATATCCCCCTAGAAACTTGGTTTCCACCAATTCTCATAAAGATCCAGCCCACATTTATTGCACCCTGGTTTTATTAGGCTTGTTGGTTTGTTTGTTTGTTTTCTTTTGACTTTTTTGCTTATTGGCTTTATTAGGCTTTTTGGTTATAAGTTAGTTATGATGTTTAGAACTCTAGGCACTCAGAGAAATCCAAGGTAAGGGCCATTTTGAATCCTTGCCTTTATCTGCTCCCTGAGCCATCTACTTATCACAATCCCTTTCTTTTGAGTAAGTCCACAGGGTAACAGTGCAAACCCTTCAGGGGAGAAAGCAGTGACTCCCATAGATGAAGGGGAAAGAATGGACTGCATTGTTGCAATGTGATTCTTAGCCAGATGTCATGTTTTGGGAAAACAGAAAGCAGTGTGTGTGAGAAGGAAAGAAAGGAGCGGAGTGGTGGTGGTGGGGGAGATATGTACATGTGTGTGTGTGCATGTGTGTGTGTGTGTGCATGAGAGAGAGAGAGAGAGAGAGTATGCTCGCAAAAAGTTGGAGAGAATGAACAGGGTCAGCCATGGTGATGCCTTGAACAAATCTCTTTCTCTGGGACACAACTCAGATGGTAAGAGGTCAGACACGGCAGCTCCTTTGCCTTTGCTCCTGCATAGGAGTAGATCCTATAAATGCTAAGTCCCTTCTCAGACCACAGGTGTTTGTATACATGCTTAATCCTGTGACCACCCAAACTCCTGCTGCTTCCTGGCTTAACTAAGCCAGGAGTTTTCCCAGTAGTCTCCATAAGAGACCTTGCTTTTACCTACTTCATATGGAAAGGTGATTACCAAACAAATAAAACAAAAGTCAAGAAAGCGAAAAGGAAGGAAAAATTATTTTGGAGCATGCACTATACATCAGGTTTTAGACCCAGAAGTTTCATATGTTAAGCCTCACAATACCCCTGAGAGATCAAGAGGTCATATTTTGACTTTTTTGTTGTTGTTGTTGTTGTAATAGAAGACATAATTGAAGATTTCCCTCAACCTTAGTCTACCCTAATTCCAAGTCTATCTGATTTTCTCTGTGGGACGATGAGAGGTAAGAGCTCACTAGAAGAGTGCTTGCCTAGCTGTCTATGAAGCACTAGGGTGTCATAGTCATGCAAATTCTTGGGGTTCAATAGACAACCACCCTATCTTAATGGGCAAGCTACAGGCCAGAGAAAAACAGACCACCTCAAAATAAATACAGGATGGGTGCTGGAGAAACGGCTCTTCTGGCAAGGGCACTTGCTCTTCTCTCAGAAGACCAGAGTTTGGTTCCCAGAACCTAAATATGATGGCTCACGCCATCCATAGCTGCAGTTCCAGGTGATCCAAACCTACCCAGCCAGGCCTCAGGTATGCACGCATATACTCAAAAATAAATAAGCCTAAAAAAAAGTCAAACAAACGAAAAAACACCAAGATGAGTGGCACCTGAGGAATGACACACCCAAGGTTGACATCAGGCTTCCATAAGTATGTGCATACATGTGCATGAACTGGGTGTTTCCTCAAAAATAAAACAGAACATGGATATACAGAGAGAAGGTAGGGGTGAGGGAAAGGGAGGGAGGAAGGAAGAGAAGAGGGAGGGAGAGAGGGAGAGAGAGAGAGAAGGAGGAAGGAAGAGATGGAGGGAGGGAGAGAGAGAGATTGAGAGATTATACAGAGAGCTCATCCCTGCCTTTGGAACTGGATAGCCTCCTTTGAAGCTGAGCCCCATGAGACCACATTGGAGCCAGTGGTTCTTGGATCTGCATTCTGGAACCTGAAGCCACTTTTGTGGTGATCCCAGGTCAGTGTTCTTGGCAGGGCTCTCCTGCTCCTGAGAAAATCACTCAGTTGCCCTCCTTATATATCCAATTGCTCGTATTTGCTAGGGCCTCTGGACCATAGAATGGTAGAGATATCTGAGGACAATTAGCACCCACGGCTACCTGACTTTTTGTCCAGTGAGGCTCCTTCCTATGAAATCAGTCTACCGAGAGTAACAAGACTTCTTAGCTCGTCTCCACAGATGCCATGTCATCTCTCAGGGACAGCTTACCTATACCATTTCCTTCCTGCTCGGCTCCATCCTCCTCAGCCTCGAAAGACAAAGCTGGTCTCTTTCCTGAACAGCCCTCGCATCCTGCACTGCTGTGATTAGATGACCTCTTGGGCTGACCTGCTTCAGGTTAAATGAGTCTATTCATTGAACTTTTCCTTCCCTGAACTATATACGGCCCCCGTATCAGTTTCCTGGCTCCTTTTTCGGACGACACAAGGTGAAGGATAGAATTCAGAAACTGTTCCTTGTCTCGAGGCCCCTCATATCCCATCTTTAACTTTATCCTGAGAAGCCAGGCACACGCCACACCCCACTCTTTTAGGAAAGAAGAGAATACTCTTTTCATTCATTACCTTGGCTTCACCCTGCTCAATGTATGTGCGATGTGAGGCTTTGAAGAAACCTTACTCTTGCCACTGTGAAGCTATGGAGCATATCTGAAGACAATCTGTTCATTTCTGGGTAGGGAGCATGCTAGCGACAAGTCTATACAATTCTTATACTTAAGACCCAGAAACCGCCACAAGGAAGGGCTAGTTCCTGTTTCTAATTAATCTATTAACTCCCCTCTTTCCTGACTCGATTGCTCTCCTCCACTTTCGTGACAGACACATATCCAACACTCTTCCATTAATCCATGGCGCTTGGAGCCGTCATTGTAGGCTCTCCCTTCCAGGTGTCATTTACTGTAATCACCACTGAAAATGAAAGTCATTTTCCAGAAGCTGGGGAGTAGGAGACACTCATTTGTATCCTTTTCAAGTCCAAGATGACTGCCTGGTTCCCCAGAGGTCAAATGACAGCAGCACTTGTCATTTTGCTCCTCTCACGTGCCTGACTCTCTCAGCATGCTGGTGGCCGCCCTGGGAAAGAGAACATTTAATCCTAGATCTCTTCCCAGGCTCCGGGTGATTGAAAAATGCCCATGTTTTTTTTGTTTGGTTTGGTTTGGTGGTTTTGTTTGTTTGTTTTGCCTCAATCTAATAAAGAACAATTGACCACATAAATATTAAACGTAGTCAATCACCAAGATGGACAGCGGCATGCTGATACAACTGTATTGGGGCTACAAACTGTTGTAAGCCTAGTACTCCAATCTGAATGCACAATGTCTGCCACAGGATCCCTTGTTTGCACACTTGGCCTCAGGCTGACTGTGCTTTTGGGGGACATTTAGAACCTTTAGGAGAAGAGATCCTACTGAAGGAAATTAATTGAGTGGGAGGGGGTGCAGACCTTGAGGTTCCTGCCCTGT